TTCCAATTTGTTGTGGCCACAAGTAATGCTGCTATAAATTATCATTGCACTGAGATTCTTATATGTTAGTACTTTTATTTGTATATTAACACTATGGGCTATATTCTCACAAGTGGAACCATTGGGTTGAAGGGTATATATATTAAATGTGAGTAGATGTTGCAAGATGGCCTTTTAAAAAGGTAGGAATAATTCAGATATCTACCAACAAGGTATACAAGTATCTTTCTCCTAGCATCTCTGCCAGAAATGGGTGATTTTAATTTTTAAAATATCTTGATTGAAATATAATTCATATACTATGAAATTCACCCTTTTAAAGTGTACAGTTCAATGGTTTTAGTATATTCACAGAGCTACACAATGATCACCACCAAGTTTAGAACATTTTTATCACTCAAAAAAAAGAAACCCTATACCCATTTAGAAGTCATTACTCATTCCCCCACCTCATCCTAGTCTTAGACAATCACTAATCTACTTTCTGTCTCTGTAGATTTGCCTATTCTGGACATTTCACACGAATTGAACCATACAATGTGTGGTCTTTTATGACAGACTTTAACTTAACACACTGTTTGTTTCCAAGGTTCACCATGTTGTAATATGTATCGGTACTTCATTCCCTTTTATCACTGAATAATGGTCCACTGTATGGATGTACTACATTTTATTCATCCATTAGTTGATGGACACTTGTGTTGTTTCCAATTATTGGCTATTATGAATAATGTTGTGATGATCATTCATGTACAAGTTTCTATGTGGATGCATGTTTTTATATACTTAGGTTGGAATCAATGGGTCACATGGTAAATCTATGTTAAACCTTTTGAGGAACTGCCAAACTGTTTTCCAAAGTGTGATTTTAATTTCCGCCAATTTGGAGGGCATATAATAATTTTACTGAATTGGTAATGTGCACTTCCTTACTGAGTTTTAGGCTTTCTTTTCATTCATTGGCCATTTAAATTTGCTTTTTTCTGAACTGCTTTTCATCCTTTGTTTTTTTTTTTTTCTGAACTGCTTTTCATCTCTTTTTTTTTTCTGAAATGTTTTTCATCTCTTTTTTTTTCTGAGTTGTTTTTTATAAACTTCTAAGAATTCTGTGTATATTTTTAGATATTCACCAATTTACTATTGTTTCTTTGTAAACATTTTGTCTTGATTCTAACACTAGTCTTTTAACGTTGTGGTATCTTGTGTTATATAAAATATTGAATTTTTATGGTGCTGAACATATCTTCCACATTTGTGTGTTCTTTAAGAAGTTCTTCCCTACTTCTAGATTAAAAATGCAGTTGCCTAAACTTTCTTCTAAATATTTTATTGATTTATTTTACTTTAAGTCTTTACACAAAATTTACTTTGTATTACATAGTATGAAACTGTTTTCCTACTGAAATACATATCATCTTAATCATATATCTAATGATCAAACATAATAAATTTTTTTCTCTGGATTCTCTCTTCTAGTGTTTTCCAAGCCACAGATCAGGACTATTTGTTGCTTTTGAAATCAATTTAGTGTGTTTATTTGCTATTTAAAAAATAGAAAAAGAAAATAGTGTGCATCATATGTAATAAGGGCAAATGTTTCATAATATATTTATTTCTAATTTTTAACATACACATACAAACAAATATATCAAGGGTCATTATGTATGTAAAATGTATTTCTTATTGTCAATTATAATAAAGTTTGAAATCCACCCTTTCATTGTATTCCATTAATCCATTTGTCTATTCCTTTGGCCATACATAACTATATAATTCTAGTGGCTGTGTTTTCTCTCTTTTTATATACCTTCTTTGGCTATTACTGGATATTTGCTCTTCCACATGAACTATATGGTCATTTTTTTTTTCTATCATTAAAAAAAAAAACTTGCTTCTATTCTAATTAGAACTGCTAATTTGGGAGAAATGATACTTTTATGATATTAAATTCCCTGTCCCATCAAATATTTGGTATAACTTTCTGCTTATGAAACACAGTATGTTTCCACAATTCTTACACTACAGGGCCTATGGTTTACTTGATAAATTTACTCCTAAGTATTTTATAGTTCCTTTCATTGTGAAAGAAAATTTTCCCCATCTTGGGACTCCGCTGGTGGCGCAGTGGTTAAGAATCTCCCTGCTAATGCAGGGAACACAGGTTCAAGCCCTGGTCCGGGAAGATCCCACATGCCGCAGAGCACCTAAGCCCCTGCGCAACAACTACTGAGCCTGCGCTCTACAGCCCGCGAGCCACAACTACTAAGTCTGCATGCCACAACTACTGAAGCCCGTGCGCCTAGAGCCCATGCTCCTCAACAAGAGAAGCCACCGCAATGAGAAGCCAGCACATGCAATTAAGAATAGCCCCCGCTCACCGCAACTAGAGAAAGCCCATGCACAGCAACAAAGACCCAACGCAGCCATAAATAAATAAATTTACTTAAAAAAGAAAAAGAACATTTTCCCATTTCCATCCTGTGTAGTTATTGCATATATAGAGAAGCTACCAGTTTTATTCATCTTATATCTGGCTATCTCACCAGATTCTCTTATTAATTCTACTGTTTGTAACTTGAGTGTCTTGGGTTTCCTAGATGTGCAATCATGTTGCTAGGACCGCTAAAAAGAGGTAAATAATTTGGCAATATGAAATGGTAATACTGAAATCTTGCCTACCTCCTCATTGTAAAATGCAGTTTAAGTAACATACACAAGAAATTAATTACTCAAATGACTGAAATACATTCCTCTCTCTCTGCTATTTCTCAAGTTGCTCCTCATGTTACAGCCCCTGACCCTGTTCCTTCTCTCCTTCAACTCCTAAACTGTGCCACCAGTGAGAGGCCCCAGCTTCTGATGGCTGGGTAGTAGGGAAAAGAGATAATCTGGCTCTCACTATACCATTAAATATATATATCCATCCATTCAGATATATACATACATGGCACAAGGCTAGATGCTGAAAAGAATGTCAAGAAATCAAGGACATCCAGAAAGACAATCAAATATAAGATATCTATAAGACATGTGAATAAATAACATTATTTCAAATAAAAATGACACATGCTCCAAAACGGGCATAGGTAAAGCATGATTCAAGATTAGAAGAAAAAATAGTTACTTATAGTATAAAAACATACTACTATTATAGGTGGAGCTTAGATATATACTACAATAATGCTATAATTTAAATATATTACATATTTAAAAGTTTTGTGGGATTGGCTGAACCTAATTATTACATGTATTATTACTATTCTCTTAGGGGAAAAACCACTTTCAAATAATCCACTTATAAGTAAACTTCTAGCAACATAACTCATGTTTCTTAAACATCACTTGGACAGACAATGGTAACAGTTCCAAAGTTGTAGTACTGTCAATAAAGGGACATAACAAGAGGAACAGACTATAAGAGTCTGGTTTAACAATGATCTTTCCTAATTACCTCCTGAGAACAAAATTAATTTTATTCAATAAAAAGAAAATAAATTCCTATCATGTATCTTAAAATTTTATAAATTCAGTTACTACAAAAATTTCATTATAATGTTTAACAATTCAGTGTTAAAATTAATACAGCTTCTTATAATGCCAAGAATATCATCATAAAAATTTTCACCAGGGTCAAAGATTTTCATCTTTGAATTTATACAGTATATAATAGCAAAATGCAGCTCTTACATAAACCATAGTTTATTGGTTCATTCAAGCTGTAAAAATATGACTAACATTTCATCTGGTCAACCACCTTAAAGGTTAACTCTTGTTTCCTATTTCAGATTTTATTCTAGGTGAACTGTTCTGGGCAGATTCTATTTACCTATTCTGAACAAACCACAAACTGTTTCATTGCTCACTCTGACTATTAAGAACATACTGACTTGCTGCCTGCTCTGCTGTTTAATTCATTCATGCTGAGAGTCAGGCATGAAGACAGAATTTTAAATGTGACATTTGCAGGCTGTTAGGTCATTTAAGCTCTGACAACACCAGGGAATTCCTGACATATAACTGGACCTGATTACCAACCACAGATAGGCTACCAAAAGGGGCAAATTTCTTATCATTTTTGGTAATTTCTCATAGAATTTTAATATTCAATTTTAATGTTAATGAAAAGATCTATATAGCCAACATTTTAAAGTAAAAGCCTGTTTCTTTTAATAAACTCAACCTGGAACTTCTTCTAATCAATCCATATCTGCTAAATAAAAATTCTTTTGATTGGCAAAGACATAAGGAAAAACTCATAATAATAATTAACATTCATGAAAATTCTGACAAATTCTGACATTTAAGGGCTTTTAAAATTTCCCATAATCTATAGCCTCTGAAAAATCTGGTAAGTCTAAAGGCCATAACTCTCACCAACAGATCACTTAAAATTCTTCGATTCTAGTCCAGCAGGGCAGACTTTATATGCTGTCAAAATTACGGTACCAAATCTAAGTTTAAAAACTTACCACACTGCCTTCTTTAAGATTACAGTTATGTAAAAGGGATGATAGAGTCATTAAAATTGGAAATGAAAAAATTACCCACATGACATTTAGAATTATACTTTACAAGAGTTGATAATGGGGTGGGGCAGAGGAAGTAGGGAGAGACTGCTTTTTCATTTTAGCTACTCAAAAAAATTATACCAAATGATATTTTTTCAACTTTTTCTTTGTCACTAACAAGTACCGTATACAATGGTGCAAATGAGCGTTCTCTGAAATTAACACTTGTTGTTAAGTAATGTGCAAAAGATAATTCTGATTCTACCCTGTATTTTACACAAGCAAGAATTCTACTGTTACACAGCAAGTAGCCTTTTAATATTGTGCTTTGAATGAGATTTCCAACTGTAATAGGTGGAGTCTAACTAGGGCTAGACGGCCTGGAATGCCTTTCAGCTATAGCACATTGATTCTGAAGAACCTAACAAAAGCAATTACTTTTCAGAGATTAAAATTATTGTTTCTTTCAAAAGAACAAAATGGAAAGCAAACCTGGTGTATTATCTGAGCTACAGGAAGTTGTTCAGCATATTTCAGAGGTTCCATTAGTTCCTCATCCATCAGGTCTTTCTTATAGCTGGAAAAAAATTGAGAAACACAAAGCCAAGGTAAATATTATTTTTAAATATGCCAAATATTTAAATATGCCAAATGTGAAATATATTAAAAATATATATCAATATGAGATTCTGAAATAAGCAGTATTTGTCAATAATCTATGAAAAAACACCTAATGACAATTTTTAAATGATATAACCATGAATACATTCAGATTGCATTTAATTACTATTTAATAAGAGTAGCTAACATCACCTAATAGTCTCAGATCCTGTTTTTCACTCTGAGACTTAAAAATGTTTAAGAACTCCATGTTCACTGCATATGCTTTTTATCATAGTATTTAAATAAAGGTCTTCAAAACCTGGCTCCAACCATTCAAGCCTCATCTCCAGCAACTCCTTCTCTACGTCCAAGTCAATAGTTTCAGCCATTCCAACTAGTGGTCACCTGCCCGTGGGCTTGGCATTTCCATGATTCTGATTTTCTCCACTGTGTTTCCTGTTTGGACTAACCACAACTCCTTCTTTCTTTACTCTTCTTTCAAATATAATAATTTATTTAGATGCATGTAGGTACATTTTTTACCTCCTTGAAGACAAAAATTATGTCTTATTCTTCTTTGTATATCCAATGTTTACCATATTATACTCAATAAATGTTTGCTGAATGAATGTATGAATAAAGCGAAGACAACAATAACTCTGAGAGGTTATTCTACATGGAAAATATTTTCTTTAATATCTATATTTACAATGAGATGCAGAGTTGATACAACTCATACCTAACAGGGTATAAAACAGTAAAGTGCAGAGTAGGAATAAAAAATAAAATCTCCCCAAATGAAGAGAATTAGAAAAAATATTCTGAAAAAAGTACTGACCCTTTTCAAAATAGCAAATAAACATTAGATTCATTAGATTACAAAACAGTAAGACCGAAACACATTTAAACTTTCACTTACCTTTTATTCCTGTAAACTACACATCACCTTATCAACTTCAAATCAAATTTAAAAATTGAAACATTGAATTATCTTGAAAAATAATAAAACAAGACTAGTATAAGTCTCCAGGGCTGTAGTTAAGAAATCTGATGATGAGAAATCTGGAATCTCTCCCAGTACAAAGGCAGATATACAAATAAGGACACAATTTTGTATATAAGAGTATAAGAAACCTCTTAGCTAAGTAAAAGTTTGTGCATACTTTGCAGATTAGCATAAAAATAATTAATTTGGGGGAACTTTGAAGACTCTCACTAATGATGAAAAAAACTGTCTTAAAACATTGTTTTATATAGAGAGAAAGTAGAACAGTGGTTTCCAGGGGCAAACGAGGGGAGAAAGGGGAATTACTGTTTAATGGGTACAATTTCAGTATTAAAAGGTGATAAAAATTCTGGAGATAGATGGTGGTGATGGTTACAGGATAATGTTAACATACTTAATGCCACTGAACTGTATGCTTTAAAAGGGTTTAAATGGTCAATTTTATGTTTTGTATATGCTGTGGGCTGAACTGTGTCCCCTCAAAATTCATACGTTGAAGCCCTAACATTGAGTACCTCAGAATGTGACTGTAACTGGAGACAGGATCTTTAAAAAGATGATTAAGGTTAAATGAGGTCATTAGGGTAGGTCCTAACCCAATATGATAGTGTCCTTACAAGAAACGAGGATGCAGAGAAAGACAAAGTAAAGACCATGTGAAGACACCAGGAGCAGATTTGACCATCTATAAGTCAACAAGAGACGCCTTATAAGAAAACAATCCTGCCAGCACCTTGACCTTGGACTTCTAGATTCCATAATTGTGAGGAAATAAATTTCTGTTGCTTAAGCCACTCAGTCTGTGGTACTTTGTTATGGCAGCCCTGGCAAACAAATACAGTATATATTACCACAATCAAAAATAAAATAAATATTCATTGACCAAAAAACCCACATTATTTTAAAATATTTCACAATGTACATTTAAAAAGTCTCTCTACATTTTTAGGTATATAAAACATATACAAGCAACAAGCAACAAAAGGAAAATAGATATATTGAATATTATCAAAATTTAAAATTTTTGTGCTTCAAAGGACACTACCAAGAAAGTGAAAAAAACCCCAAAAATGGGAGAAAATTTTTGTAAATCATATATTTGAACAGATTTGTATCAAAAATATATTACAGGAACTTAATGAAACTTAAAAGTTTTTGCACAGCAAAGGAAACCATAAACAAGACGAAAAGAGAACCCTCAGAATGGGAGAAAATTTTTGCAAATGAAGCAACTGACAAAGGATTAATCTCCAAAATTTTCAAGCAGCTCACGCAGTTCAATAACACAAAAACAAACAACCCAAACCAAAAATGGGCAGAAGACCTAAATACACATTTCTCCAAAGAAGATATACAGATTGCCAACAAACACATGAAAGCATGCTCAACATCACTAATCATTAGAGAAATGCAAATCAAAATTACAATGAGGTATCACCTCACACCAGTAAGAATAGCCATCCTCAAAAAATCTACAAACACTAAATGCTGGAGAGGGTTGGAGAAAAGTGAACCCTCTTGCACTGTTGGTTGGAATGTAAATTGATACAGCCACTATGGAGAACAGTATGGAGGCTCCTTAAAAAACTAAAAATAGAACTACCATACGACCCAGCAATCCCACTACTGAGCATATAACCTGAGAAAACCATAATTCAAAAAGAGTCATGTACCACAGTGTTCATTGCAGCTCTATTTACAATAGCCAGGACATGGAAGCTACCTAAGTGTCCTTCGACAGACGAATGGATAAAGAAGATGTGGCACATATATACAATGGAATATTACTCAGCCATAAAAAGAAACAAAATTGAGTTATTTATAGTGAGGTGGATGGACCTAGAGTCTGTCATACAGAGTGAAGTAAGTCAGAAAGAGAAAAACAAATACCATATGCTGACACATATATATGGAATCTAAAAATAAAGGTTCTGAAGAACCTAGGGGCACGACAGGAATAAATACGCAGATGTAGAGAATGGACTTGAGGACACAGGGAGGGGGAAGGGTAAGCTGGGACAAAGTGAGAGAGTGGCATGGACATATATAACACTACCAAATGTAAAAATAGATAGCTAGTGGGAAGCAGCCACATAGCACAGGGAGATCAGCTTGGTGCCTTGTGACCACCTAGAGGAGTGGGATAGGGAGGGTGGGAGGGAGGGAGATGCAAGAGGGAGGAGATATGGGGATATATGTTTATGTATAGCTGATTCACTTTGTTATAAAGCAGAAACTAACACACCATTGTAAAGAAATTATACTCCAATAAAGATGTTTAAAAAAAAAAAAGTCTTGCAGTTGCTTAGAAAATTTTCAAAGGAATTTCCTAGTGGTCCAGTGGTTAGGACTCAGCACTTTCACTGCTGTGGCCGGGTTTGGTCCCCTTTTGGGGAACTAAGATTCCTCAAGCTGTGTGTGACCAAAAAAAAGAAAAGAAAAATTTCAAACAAAAAAAAATTCTTGGTTGATGCATACTGAAGTGTTTATGTGAACTGTCATGATATCTGCAGCTTACTTTCAAATGGTTCAGAAAAAATAAAACAAAAGAAAATGAGGAAAATGAATGAGTTTGAAATTTTTTGTAACAACTACTTTACAGATTTTTTTTCCAGTAATTGATATCTAGTCTCATAGCATTGTGGTCGGAAAAGATACTTGATACGATTTCAATTGTCTTAAATTTACCAGGGCTTGATTTGTGACCCAAGATATGATTTATCCTGGAGAATGTTCCATGAGCACTTCAGAAGAAAGTGTATTGTTGTTTTTGGATGGAATGTCCTAAAAATATCAATTAAGTCCATCTTGTTTAATGTATCATTTAAAGCTTGTGCTTCCTTTTTTATTTTCATTTTGGATGATCTGTCCATTGGTGAAAGTGGGGTGTTAAAGTCCCCTACTATGATTGTGTTCCTCTCGATTTCCCCTTTTATGGCTGTTAGCATTTGCCTTATGTATTGAGGTGCTCCTATGTTGGGTGCATAAATATTTACAGTTGTTATATCTTCTTGGATTGATCCCTTGATCATTATGTTGTGTCCTTCTTTGTCTCTTGTAATAGTCTTTATTTTAAAGTCTATTCTGTCTGATATGAGAATTGCTACTCCAGCTTTCTTTTGATTTCCATCTGCATGGACAATCTTTTTCCATCCCCTCACTTGCAGTCTGCATGTGTCCCTATGTCTGAAGTGGCTCTCTTGTAGACAGCATATATACGGGTCTTGTTTTTGTATCCATTCATCCAGTCTGTATCTTTTGGTTGGAGCATTTAATCCATTTACATTTAAGGTAATTATCGATATGTATGTTCCTATTAACATTTTCTTAATTGTTTGGGGTTTGTTATTGCAGGTCTTTTCCTTCTCTTGTGTTTCCTGCCTAGAGAAGTTCTCTTAGCATTTGTTGTAAAGCTGGTTTGATGGTGAATTCTTTTAGCTTTTGCTTGTCTGTAAAAGTTTTAATTTCTCCATCAAATCTGAATGAGATCCTTGCTGGGTAGAGTAATCTTGGTTGTAGGTTCTTCCCTTTCATCACTCTAAATATGTCCTGCCACTCCCTTCTGGCTTGCAGAGTTTCTGCTTAAAGATCAGCTGATAACCTTATGGGTATTCCCTCATAAGTTATTTGTTGTTTTTCCCTTGCTGCTTTTAATATATATTTTTTGGTATTTAATTTTTGAGAGTTTGATTAATATGTGTCTTTGCGTGCTTCTCCTTGGATTTATCCTGTATGGGACTCTGTGCTTCATGGACTTGGTTAACTATTTCCTTTCCCATATTAGGGAAGTTTTCAGCTATAATCTCTTCAAATATTTTCTCAGGCCCTTTCTTTTTCTCTTCTTCTTCTGGGACCCCTATAATTCAAATGTTGGTGCATTTATGTTGTCCTGAAGGTCTCTGAGACTGTCCTCAATTCTTTTTATTCTTTTTTCTTTATTCTGCTGTACAGTAGCTATTTCCACTATT